GGAGAGGAGGAGGGGGAGAGGAAGAGGGAGGAGGAAGAGGAGGAGGAGAGGAGGGGGAGGAGGAGAGGAGGAGGAGGAGGAGGAGGATGAAGGAGAGGGAGTAGGAGGAGGAGGGAGGCGGAGAGAGGAGGAGGAGTGAGAGGGCGGAGAGGGAGGCGCGGAGGACCGGGAGAGGGGGAGAGGAGACGACGTGATGACGTTGGTGCGGGGGTGGGGGTGGGGTGGTGGGGGGGGGGGGGGGGGGGGGGGGGGGCAGGGGGGGGGGGGGCGAAGGAGGAGTGCGCGACGAGAGGGGCAGGGGTGAGGGGGCGAGGTGGGTGGGGGGGTGAGGGGGCGAGGGGGGTCAGGACGGCGGGGCGGTCAGGGCCGCTTGGCGCGGCAAGCTCCCAGACAGCCCAGCATAGAGCTTACTGATGTGCGACGGCTCCGTCGGAGCCCGCGGGCAGCGCGTGTCCAGCGGCGTGGCCTCTTCGGACGCGATGCAGCGACGCAGGCCCCACCGCCCAAGATATGGGCGCGGGCCGGGGGCTGGGCTTGGCTGCGTGGTAGGCCGGGCCGCAACGGCTGAGCGGATGATGGGAGATGGGTTAATGATTAATGATTGCAATAACGACCGATGGGCCGAGGGACCGAGCACCCTCGAAGGTTCGAGGGCACAATGACGGCGCCATGTGTCAGCCATAGGCCATGGGGCCATAGGCCCAGGCGGGCCACGGGCGTCGAGCGCCCCTTCCCCAGAGCAGCGACAGACCCGCTTCAAAGTTTCAGAGGTGATTCATTGGTTCAGGCTGCCGGGCCCCTCCTCTTCTCCTCCGCTCGCCGCTCTCCTCCTCCTCCTCTCCTCTCCTCCTATCCTCATCTCCTCCTCTCTTGCTCCTCTCCTCCTCCTATTCCTCCTCCTCCTCCCCTCCTCCCACTCCCACTCCTCCTCCTCGCCTCCTCATCTTCCCCCTCCCCCTCCTCTTCCTCCTCCTCCTCCACCTCCTCCATCACTCTCTGGCCTGGAGTTCCCGACGCCAAGCGGGCGTGGCCAGGGGGGGCACCTGGGGGGTGGTCAAGCGGGCGCGGCCCGCGGCGTGACCAGGGGGGGCGCCTGGGGAGTGGTCGAGCGGTCAGGGAGTCAGGGGGTCAGGGATGCCATGGACCAGGGGACCATGGAGAAGACTCATGAGACTCGGGATGAGAGGGGCGGCGTGAGCTGAGGATGTGAGCCTCGTGAACGGATGAAGGGATGAGCAGGAGAGGAGAAGCGTAGAAGCGGAGAAGCGATGCCAGTGATAGTGATATGACGATGCGATGATACGACGATGCGACGATGATACGATGTAAAGCGAATGCGATAGTGAGTAACGCTTTTCGTTTTTTTCTTTTTTCCACTGTTTACACCACTGCGCACCACGCACAATAAAGAGCGGGGCGCACCTACGCGCCTACCCAACCGCCCTACCGCGCCATGCTGTCGCGCCGTAGCCGCGACCGTCACGACCGTGCGAACGCGCGACACGAACAACGAAACCAAACAACAACAGTTTAATTAACACTGCTGAGCCTCAGCCTCAGCTGACCTACGGGAGTCCATGGGTGACTCCTGGGTCATGGAATTCCAGTGGCGGGGCCCGAATTCCCTGGGAGGATGGGGGGGTCGGACCAGACGGGCCCTCGGGGCACCGAGGAGGCCCTGCGGGTGGCCCTGAGGACCTGAGGTGCCTGAGGTGGGAGAGGGGGATAGAGGAGGGAAATAAAGATTGTGAAAGGGGGCGAGGAGGCGAGCGCGTGTTCGGGCCACAGCAGGGCTCGAGACTCGAGTTGCTCCCGCAGGAAGCGGCTTCCTCAGGCTCAGGAAGCGCGCGCGTGCAATCATCGCAAGCGGCGAGCACACAAATTGTTATGGCTGCTAGCGGATGGCCCTGGCCAGACGGCCAGACAGCAGGCGGCGGGCCGGCGGCGGGCCGGCGTGCAAGCGTAGCAGAGCGGGAGCGGCGGAGCGTGCGGTGCGTAGCAGCGTAGCGTCTCTGAGAGTCGCCAGCGCCGGCATCTTCCTATCCTCCGATCCTCCTATCTTCCTTCTCAGTCCTTCTCCCAATCGTCGTCCTCCCACGTCTCCGTCTCCACTTCCCTCCACCCCTCCCTCCCTCCACCCTCCGCCCCATCGGAGACCTGGCGCCCTAGCGCCAGTGCTGTGCTGCAGGCGGCTGCAGGCGGCCGATGTGCTGCGCGCGCTGCGCTGCAGGCGGCCGCAGGGCCGCGGGCGCGTCTTCGCGCGCCGTTGGAGCCGGCTGATCTAGACCTGCTGCCAAACGCTGCGGGCAGGAGCGGCGCAGGCTGCGGCTCGCGCAGCACGCGAATCAGCTGAGCCTCCTCATGAGCCTCATGAGAAGCAGCAATCGTCAGCCCGATCACGCGCGTCGAAAACGCCTTGTCGTCAGCGAAGAACTTGAGCAACTGCTGCTCGGCCTCCTTCTCCTCCATGAGGCGACGTCTGTAGGCAGCCTCGCCCTCATCATCGACCAGCTTGTCGAACTTCTCCGCCACGTGCTCCTCATATTGGAAATCACGATGCGACTTCCAGGCCTCAACCATGGGGCGCTCGGGCAGCGCATCATTGCACTTGTCGCGCGCGTCCACCAGGGCTTCAACGCACGTTGCCGAAGCCACTCGTCCGCGAAGAACTTGTGGATGTCCTCGGCGTCGGTGTCGGCCCCGGCGTTGCCCTCGCGCTTCGAAGGCGACATGGCCGCGGGCCCAGCAGGCCCATGCCAGATGTGGCAGTGGTGGCAGCTGCAGCTGCGGCTGCAGTCGGCGACATCGGCGACCTCCGCGGCCTCGATCATCTTGTCGAGCCGCTCTGCCAAGTCCGCCATCTGCTCGGTCACCTGGGCTGGCTGACCACGCCAGATGGCGTCGTCATCATCGTCGCCAGCGTCGGCGACATGTCCGACACGGTCGAGGGCAGGGTCCCAGTCCCAGTCGTCGCCCACGGGGCTCTGCCAGGTTGGCTCTTCGAAGTCGAAGCTCTCGTAGTCCTCGTAGTCCTCCTCCGCCCACTCCGCCCAGCTGCCCCAGCTGCGGTCGCCAGCGTCGCCGCCGCGGCGATCGGGCCCGCGCCGCCCGCGCACAGGAGGTGGCCGCGACCTGGGCATGCGCGAGGCCGACGGGCCGAAGGGCCGAAGGGCCGAAGGGCGAGGCGGCGAGACGCTGCGAAGCGCGCAGCGCTGCAGCGCCAGCGCCCAAGCGCTCAAACACTTCATGCCCAAACGGCTGTATACGGAGGGGGGGGGGGGCAGGGAATCCTCGCCGAACGAGGTCCCAGGATCATTGGTCGAGAATGCAAGGCCCTTCGCCGAAGGCCCCATGGCCGCAAACAGCAGCAAACCGCGGGCACCCCGAGGTCCAGAAAGCTAAGAACGCAAGGGTGCCCAGGTACTCCGGGTACCCCTCTGAAGCCGAAGCTGTTCTCAACCTTCGCGTTGGCTGGAGGCGAGCCTTCCAGCAGCCCCCTGACGCGCGATGAATCGCATGCCACACATGCCATGTCTCATTGTCTCCTAGCGCCGGCAGCTGGCTTCGTCGTCTCGTCCGCCAGCATCCGCCAGCATTCTGGCATTCCGCCGCCTTCCGCCAAGGTGATGGCCGCATGGTATCATGCCGATTCGTGTCTAAGATTCTAAGATCCAGATGATCGCCAGTCTGCGCTAAGAAGTACCCAACGACGCCCAAAAAGGCACCGAGATGCCCGCGGCCAGAGCGTGCGAGTTCACGGTCTCACGGTCTGGCTCAAGCGATTCAAGCTATACAAGCTATACCCGCAGCATGTCCGTTATGTCGCCCTGTCTTCCCTACCCCCTACCCTCCACTCATTAAATCCTCGATCCTCTCTCTCTCTATCCTTTTATCCTCTCATCCTCTCATATTCCGAGGGTCCTGCTGGGCCTGCTGTCCAGCATAGGCGCCCGTGTTTCTGACGGCCCGAGGTCCTCAGGCTCGCCCTGGGGCTCCTGGGGGCCGCCCTGAGGCCCTGAAGGCCTGAGGTCCAGGGGCGCTGTCCAGGTGTCCAAGGGCCCAAGGGCCCAGCGGCCCAGGGGCCCAGGAGTCGCGGGGCCATGCGGGCCGCCCTCGCAGGACCCTCGCAAGCGCAAGAGGAGGGCAAGATAGCAAGATGCAGAAGCAAGGCCACGAGGTCACGAGGTCTGGGTCTGGTCGCGATGTCCCGATGTCCAAGGTAGGTTATGTAGGTTTCCAGGCCGGTGGTTTGGCCCAGGGGGCCCAGGGGCCCAGGAGCTGCACGCATTCATCGTCGCGCGTTAGCCCATTCCAGGAGCGGGGCGGGAAGGGCGGATGGGGCCCAGGGATGGAGTGGAGGGGTCGCGGGATAGCGAGGAGAGGCGGCCAGGAAGGACGAGGGGAAGAGGACTTGGAACTTGGAGAGGGCGCGAGGACTGAGGACTGAGCTGGGATTGGGCATGGCGCAGCCTCTAGCGGCAGCCAAATCGGCACCGCTCTATAGCGCCACTCTATCCTATCAAGCACTGGCGGCGCTTGCAGCTGCTGCAGAATCGTCGCGGCGCAGGGCGCGCAGGGCGCGCATGCGGCGCGCATGGCGCGCCTGCGCCATGTCGCGGCCAAAGCCGATGCCAGCGTCAAAATGCTGGGGAAGCTGCATGGGCGCTGCCAGATCAGAACGCACGATGGCTGGCGAAGGACTGTCTGTGGGGCGGGGTGGCAGCACATGGGTCGCAGTGGTTTTGCTCCTGAAGCGAAGTCGCTTCTGCGGCTGCTGCGGCGCCTCCGCCGTTCCGCCCATGCCGTCGGTGCTCTGCTGGGGCATGTCAACGCAGAGCAACCCAGGCCAACACAGCAAGCCACTCAGGATGGCGGCGCCGATAGCGTTCACGCGCATGCTATTCCCGATCTGACACAACATGCTCGCATGGCTCCTGGTCGCAGGAGCGCCACAACCCCGGCTGAAGCCGCACCGCCCGCCAGATGCGAGCATCGACGCGTCATCGATGGGGCCCCATGCTCGCGAAGAGCTCGGATGTCGTCAACCACCTGTTCAGGTTATCAACCCATGTGATCCCCTGACCTTTGATCAACGTGTGGAGCGTAGTATCCCAGGACGAACAGACAGTGCGATGCGGCTCCTGCCCCAAGTCAGCGGTGAAGTGCCCTGGGCCACCTGCCCGAAGCGATGGCCGCCAGGCATGTAGACGCAAGCGCTCGTTGTGGCTCAGGGCAGCCCTGAACGACCCAGGAGGATCGGCCTGGTTAAGCTTCGTGAGCAGATCGATCTTGCGCTTGTTGCCGACGCTGGCCAGCCATGCGTTGCTGTGCCGTTCCGCCACCGCGGGTCGGGCCAGCGCCCGCGTCTTCTCAGTCTCACGCTCATCATCGGTGGAGATCAGGTGCGCGTCCTGGGTCATCTTGCAGGGCCGCACGAACAAGGCCTTCAGGGTGGTATCTGGCGAGTCGCACGGCGACGGCGGCGACGGCGGGTTGATCCCCTGGGTGATACTGCAGAGGTCCACCAATAACCCAATGACGAATTGCCGCGGCCTGCGTGAGGGCCAACCAAGATCGACGGGATTGATCTCCATGCGCTCGAACTTGTAGAGGTCACCAAGGCACGAGTTGAGCTCATCCATGCCGAACTCGGTCACGTTGTCGGAGATCAGGATAGGCTCTCGCATCAGGCGCCGATGCGAAGTCCAACTGTAGAAAGCAATGTTGGCGGCGCCGCTCATGCCCTCCCGATTCCCGTACGAACTGCGGTGGACGCAAGGGTGTCCAGCCACGTGAATGTGAGCGCGGGCAGCCTTGCACAAGCGGCCATGGCGGACGCACCAAGCTTTCTTCAGCATTGGTTTGTGTAAGATGGTCTGGAGGCGCTCGGAACACGATGCGGCTGGGAGCTGCTGGGCGTCGCGCAACGATGCTGGATTCACGAAGCTCGTGACGTCGTCGACAAGGCAACCTGCGCGTGCACGCTGCCGAACGCGCGCGCGCCCAGGGCCGAGGCACCGGGACGCCACTCAACCACTCAACCGATCCCACCCCGCGCGCGCCCCAGAACATGGACTCGGGCGCGTGGTGTCGGAGTGGCAGAGTGGTGCCAGGGTGTCCGGGCAGTGGGTCAGCGCGGCGCGCGGTTGCAGCAAGCGCCAACCTGGGCCGTCGGGGCTGTGAAGCAGTTCTTTTTGACAAGCGGCGTTGTTCTCTACGGCGAACACGCTCGCGACCTGAAGCCCGCGAGCTGGCGCGCGACGGTCTGCGCGGTCTGCGCGTGCATCAGTGTATGCCGTGAGGGCGGTGGCGATCATGCCAAGACTAACAACGGGTGCGTCCATGCCACTGAACGCCGTGCTTGCGCGGACCTCAACGCCACACTCTACAGCGTGTGTGGGCGGCGACAGGTGCGACATGCACTCGGGCGGTAGCCGATCCAGCGCTGCTCGCGCCCAAGCCATCGCGTCTCCGAGCGAGCGCGTTGCGTCCGCGGGACCCACTGGCACGGTGGCCTGCTGGGTAGTGGTCGCTCACTGTTGCGCACCAAATATCCGAGCATTCGACCCGCTATGGAAAGGGCGAGGGCGTGAGGGCGTGAGGTGCGCGGGGCGGGGTGGGGGGTGGGGGCGCCGAACGTGCGGCTCCGAACGTTTTTGACATCATCACGCGCGCCCCCATTCCCTGACCACAACCAGACATGACGCCAGGCGCCCCCCCCCCCCCCCCCCCCCCCCCCCCCCCCCCCCGCGCCCCTGGCATGCACAAGGAAGGAGGGAGGAAGGGAGGAGAAGGGGAGGAGGGAGGGGAGGGTGCGCGAGGATGCGAGGCGGGGGAAGGGGCTCAAGATGTGCAATCTGGACCCAGCGAGCATCTGGCGAGGGGTGTCTGACAGGACAGGGCACCCTCGCACGTTGATGCGCGCGACCACGCCGCCAACGGTGCATGGGGGCAGGCCGGAGGAGGAGCGGGGGAGGAGCGACCAGGAGGGCAGGGGGGGCAGGAGGAGGAGGAGAAGGGGGGAAGGGCCAGCGAAGCGGGACGTCGGACTCGGCCCTGCTCACATGCCCCCCCCCCCCCCCCCCCCCCTACCCAGCGCGCTGACGCGGCGGCGGCGTGGCAGCCGCTGGCCAGCGGGCGGCGGCCACGCCGCAGGGCGCGGCCGGGGGGGGGGGGGGGCCGGGGGTTCAGGGGCACAGGTAGACACGTAGACACGTAGGCACTAGCATCGCCACGACTGGACACAGAGCTCAGATGACGAAGTGGACGCACATCCAAACCCAATACAGACCCAATCGTGAGTTCTGATACCATGACCCCCTGCTCATCCGCCCCCCCCCAACACATATCCGCGAAAGGGCCCTGGGCGGCCCCAGGCGTGGACGATGCAGACATGGACAGGTAGGGCGCGCTGACAGGCTGAGCATGTAGCATGTACCTTTTTATCAGGGCGCGCTGACATGGAGAGGCGGCCGAGCATGTACCCTGCATCAGCGTAACAGCGTAGCGCACGCAGCGCCAACTTCCCATGCGTCGGCCCGCCTGCGAGCAGCAACCCGGGCGTGTGCCGGCGCAGCGGTGCAGCGGCGCAGCGCGAGACGCACGAGACGCGCGGGGGCGCAGGCGCACTGGATGGCGCATCGCCGCGTTTTTTTTTGGGGGGGGGGGGGGGGGGGGGGGGGGGGGGGGGGTACATCATTACAGTATATCTCTACTATCGTATAATGGCGATGTACGTTATGCAGTGCGGGCACGCTGGGTTACGAACGCAGATTACGCGCGCGACGCCGCATGCACAATACATATGACACACATCAGATGTGCACGCACACCCGCACGCCCTGTATTCATGAGCACGCGTAGGTGTAAGCAATCGCGCGCGGCGCCCATGACATGCGCACGCAGCATGCCCGGACAGTCGATCAACAAACACATTGAGAACGGGTGGATGACCAGCATGACAACAAACGTACCGTCGAAGGGAGTGGTGTCAACAACGGGCGCGTCACATCGACCGCCGCGACAAAGCGCAATTTGGATGCGATAGCGTGCGCAACCATCACACACGCATACATGAACGTAGTGGCATTGGTGGCATTGGCATCAGATGAGGGGACGCCGATCAGTTAAACACATGGAAAGTGAGGCAGCAACGCAGGTTGATCGCATCCGATGCGGCAGCGTTCAAGGCGGATCGGACATGGTCTGCCACTGTGGTTGACCAACGCGAGCGAATGACGCACGCGTGCGCGCCATCATGCGGTACAGGGCGCATGACCACACAGCGCTGGCCAACGCGCATGACAACAGGGATTAGGGGCATCGATGCCAGCTCAGCACCGCGTGATTGAGACGTCGCTACCAGCATTGCGATGCTGGGGACAGGGTCAGACAGGGCCTGAAGACGCCCCCCAGCAACATGCGGATGGGGGCCCTGTCCCCAGCAGCGTGGCGCTGGGGACCTCGTCATCAGCGACGTGGCGCTGGGGACTCCGCACCCAGCAGCGTGGCGCGGGGGGGGGGGGGGGCGCGCCCCCAGCAGCGTGGTGACGGGCGCAACGTCCCCAGCAGCATGGTGATAGGGATCCCGTCCCCAGCGGCATGGTGTTGGGGGTCCTATCCCCAGCAACATGGCGCTGGGGGCCCCGTCCCCGGCACCATGTCGCTGGGGGCCCCGTCCCCAGCAGCATGGCGCTGGAGGCCCCACCCCCAGCAGCATGGCGCTGGGGGCACCGTCCCCAGCAGCATGGCGCTGGGTCCCGCCCCCAGCAACATGGCGCTGGGGACCCCGTCCCCAGCAACATGGCGCTGGGGACCCCGTCCCCAGCAGCATGGCGCTGGGGACCCCGCCCCCAGCAACATGGCACTGGGGACCCCGTCCCCAGCATCATGGCGCTGGGGGCCCCGTGCAGCATGGCGCTGGGGATCCCGTCTCCAGCACCATGGCGCTGGGGCCCCCGTCCCCAGCAGCATGTCACTGGGGGCATCGTCCCCAGCAGCATGGCGCTGGGGGCCCCGTCCCCAGCAGCATGGTGCTGGAGACCCCGTCCCCAGCAGCATGGCGTTGGGGACCCCGTCCCCAGCAACATGGCACTGGGGACCCCGTCCCCAGCAACATGGCGCTGGGGACCCCGCCCCCAGCAGCGCGGCGCTGGGGGGCCCGCCCCCAGCAGCATGGCGTTGGGGACACCGTCCCCAGCAGCATGGTGCTGGGGGCTCCGTCTCCAGCAACATGGTGCTGGAGACCCCGCCCCCAGCAACATGGCGCTGGGACCCCGTCCCCAGCAGTCTGGAGCTGGGGGCCCCGTCCCCAGCAGCATGGCACTGGGGGCCCCGTCCCCAGCAACGTGGCGCTGGGGGGCCCGCCCCCAGCAGCATGGCGCTGGGGATCCCGCCCCCAGCGCCGTGGCGCTGGGGGCCCCGTCCCCAGCAGCATGTCACTGGGGACCCCGTCCCCAGCAGCATGGCGCTGGGGGCCCCGTCCCCGGCACCATGGCGCTGGGGGCCCCGTCCCCGGCGACGTGGCGCTGGGGACCCCGCCCCTGGCACCGCGGTGCTGGGGGGCCCGTCCCCAGCAACGTGGCGCTGGGGGCCCCGTCCCCGGCGCCGCGCTGTTGAGGGCGGGGGGCCAGAAGCACGTCGGTGGGGCGCGGTGGGAGGGGGGCAGCAGCATAGCGATGGGGGGCCCCGTCCCCAGCAGCACGGCGCTGGGCCCCCGCCCCCGGCAGCATGGCGCTGAGCGGGGGCGCGCCCAAGAGCATGGCGATGGGGTGTGTGTCCTCAGCAGCGCGGCGATGGCGCCCCCCTCGCCATCGGCATGGCACGGGGGGGGCGGCGATCCCAGCAGCATAGCGCTGGGAACCCCGCCCCCAGCAGCATGGCGCTGGGAACTCATGTGCTGGGGCCGCCGCCCCGGCAAGGGCGGCAAGGGGGCGTGGAGACAATGTCCCAGGCGTCATGTCGCTGGGGCGCTGCCCGCGGCATCATGCGCCGGGGGTGTGCGACTGCGACATTCCCAGCAACGCGTGTTGCACGCGCTGCGGGCGCTGCCAGTCGCATGGTCGGACCGACGGTGGGGCATCGCCGCCAGCGCTATTGCATGGGTGAGGCTGTCCCTGGCAGCATGTGATGGCGGGGAGTGGTGGGGGTCAGTGGGGGCGCGTCAACCGCGTCAGCCCCGCACCATGGCGATGTCATTCCTTGGAGGGCGACGTGGCCTCTAGCGCCCCCGACGCCCAAACGCCACGTGCCGGTGGGATGCGCGCCCGATCCACGTCGGCTCGCGACGGCGCCCCCGAGCACCCAAGCACCGCGCGTGTGGGGGGGGGCGGCGTCTTATGGAGACGTCGCCAGTGTGGGCAGGCGACGCGCCGAGTCGCTGTCGACAGTGAAAATCTCGAACTGATCGTTCTTCTTCTTCTTGTCGCCCGTCTCGGCGGGAAGGTTCCCCCTGGGGGCGGCGGCGCCGCCTGGCGAGGGCGCGACGCTGATGGGGTCGCTCAGATGTGGCCTCGAGATCTTCGCGTTCAGCGGGGTGCCCGTCGGAGCCTTCACGTGGCACGCCTTGTAGATAGATCCTGGGCCCATCGCGGACCCGCTGGCTGGGGTGCTCGGAGGCCGCGCGCGCGCGACGGGGATCTGCTCCTGCTGGGGGCCCTCGCCTTGGCTTTCTTATAGCTGCCTGCCTGCGGCCTCCCAATCTCGCCGACCTGCTTCATTGCGGGGTGCAACCTTGATCCGCCAGCGGCCCCCCCTCCACTTGGCGAGGACGTGCGAGAGAGCAGCCGAAAGCTGCCTCGCATACATGCTGGCGTTATCTCTGGGCGTGCCGAGCTCATGGGCGATCGCATCTCGCAGTTGAGACTCTGGGACCCGTTACGCGATCTGAATTGCACCGGCCAAGAAAGCCATGTTGTTGGCGACCACGTCATCCATGTCAGAGTGGCAAATCCTCATTGCAAGTATCTCCTTCTGGCATGACTTCACCAAGTTCTCCGTGCCCTCCACCGAAGCCGCGTTCTTCGCCCGTTCCTCGGCCATGATACGACGCGCAAGAGAAACATGCGAGATTTGATAAAGATTGGATGGGCTGGAACCGCGACGGCTATACGGATCGCGCGGTTTCCTGTGCCTCCTCTGTTCCCGCCTGTACACGAGAGGCGACGGACTCGACGCCGGCGATTTTTGCGAACATGCAGGCGATGCTGGAAAAATCCTGTTTGCTCGAATCAGGAAAAGCTTGTTTGCCCTAATTAACTAAGGCACAGAATTCCTAATTAGCGCAGATACGACCCCCAAGGTTGTCCTCGAGTCCTGCCGCGAGACGAGCGTCGCCAGTTGCAAGCTGAGGCTGCTCGACCGCCCCCTCCGCCGGGCCTCTAGCCTGGCAGCGGGGGGCGCGCCGGCGCCGGTGGTCCCCGACGGCCAGGCAGCGCCGAGGGTTGTGCTGATGCGAGCCGAGCGC